AGAGAGAGAGAGAGAGAGAGGGAGAGAGAGAGAGGGAGAGAGAGAAGGGGGGGGAGAGTATGGTTGAGTTAATAAGTGGATGTGAAGAAGAGAAAGAATGGGAGAGGGAGAGAGAGAGAGAGGGAACGAGAGGGAAAGAGACAGAAAATTAGATAACGCCGAGAGGGATAAATAGAGAGCGAGAAAAAGAGAGAGAGAGACAGGGGGGCGATACTAGCCTTGTGTAATGGCCTAAAGTGTAGCGATGCGAAGAATGGACAATCAATAGGCAAATGGAAAGAACAATTGAGGCGACAGAGTTGTGGCTCAAAAGACGCATGCCGCGTATCCCTTGGAGAACTAGAAGAACAAACGAAGAAGCCTTGGTTGGAGCAAATTACAGACGACAGCTTACGACGAATATACAAAAGCGACGGACAGATTTCATTGGACACACAATGCGGAAAAAAGCATCGGAGAAAATTGTAACAACTGGCAAGTTTGATGGGAGAGGCAGAGGCAGACAGAGGGAAAAGATACTGGACAGGTTGACAACATGGCTGGGAACAGAAAGAACAACATACACCATCGCTGCAACGCAAGACAGAGTGAAATGGAGGTGCATGATCGCTCACGCCAGTCGGCAAGGCGCCGGATGATGATGAAAGTATTGAAAGTGTAGCGGTGACCTTTGACCGTCTGTGACCCCTTACCTTGACGATTCCGACCACAGTTGCGGCGCCGCACTTCTGTCTGCTACCTCCAGGGCCATCTGTAGGACAGTGGTCAAAGGGGGGGGGGGTTGATTACTGGGTGGTTGTCCTGTGCTTCAAACTTTAGAGAGAAAGAGGAGGAGAAGGGGAGAGAGAAAGGGACACAGAGACTGAGAAAGAGTGTGAGGGATAGAGAGAAAGAAAGAGAGAGAGAGGGAGAGAGAAGCGGACCAAAAGAGAGAGAGAGAGAGAGAGAGAGAAAGAGAGCATAATACGAGATTAGCGCTGTGTATCTAGTCTTCGGCTCTTTATATGGCCTATTTGTGTTACTAGTAAAACTCGTATTGAAACTAACTCAAACTAAAAACACGTGCGGGTGGTTGGAGGGCGCCACTGGTTGGTTCTACTTGTTTACTTTCTCTCTGTTGTTTATGTTTGTCTGTGTGTTTGTCTGAGAGGGAGGATCAGGTGCTGAAATAAAGTCCCGCACTGGAGAAACACAGGCTGTTTTCATATCTTTGAATAGGATTTGGAAGACCAGAGATATCTCACTTCGAACAAAGCTGAGGATTTTCAATTCAAATGTGAAGTCAGTCCTATTGTATGGATGTGAGACATGGAACGGATCACAGACTTGCATAAAGAGGATCCAGGTTTTCTTGAACAAGTGTCTAAGAAAGCTACTGAGGATCAGATGGACAGACAGGGTCACCAACGAAGAAGTGTTAAGGAAAACAAGACAGATCCCTGTCAGAGATGAAGTTATAAGAATGCGGTAGCGATGGATTGGACATACTCTCAGGAAGTCAGGCAGCTGCATAACAAAGTGTTGGATTGGAATCCGCAGGGTAAAAGTTCAAGGGGAAGACCGCCTGGAATCTTGAGAAGAATTACAGAAATTGATGTTCAGAAAAGTGGGAAGACATGGAATAACATCAGGAGGCTAGCTCAGGATACTGAAAGGTGGAAAGTGTTTGTCCGTGGCCCATACCCTGGTGCAGCTAGGGTGTGAAAGGCAAGGATGATGATTATGATGACGTGTGTCTATCTGTGTGCCTGTCCGTCTGTGTGTGTCTGTCTGTCTTACTTATTCCCAGCAGTAAATGACCATTGTTGTGTCGATGTGGTTTTCTTTACTCAAACAAACAAGTAAGCATACAAACAAACAAACAAACAACCAAACAAACAAGCAAACAAACAATCATAAAAAAAACTCTACCATTATTGTGACGATGTGCCTCTCTTCTCTTTACTTAAACCAACCTACCAACCAACCAACCAGCCAACCAACCAACCAACCAACCAACCAACCAGCCAACCAACCAACCAACCAACCAAACAAACAAACAACCAAACAAACAAACATACAAACAAACATAAAAAAACCACGTACCGAAGTAGTCGTAGGTAATTCCCGATCCCATGAGGAGAAGGGTCCTGTTGATGACTCCGGGTCCGTCGAAGCCGAGCTGGACGCCTTGGGGGGCGAATCTGTCCACGGAGCTGGATGCGCGGATAGCGGCTCTGGTGAGGGGCATGGCTTGTTCCATCTGGTCGGGCGAGTAGGCGGTTAACTTGGCGCCCGAATTGTTGAAGGCTTGGCGGATGTAATCAGCGGCCTGTGGGTAGGATAAGATAAGATAAATAAGATACGTGATCTTTATTGCCCGGATCCTGGCGCATTGGTTTGGTGTTTCACCACGTACATACACACATACACTCAAACACAAGCGCACATACACGCACTCGCACATGCACGCACTCGCACATGCACGCACGCACACACAGACTCACACACGCACATGCACACACACGCACGCTCAGTCACATGCATGATATAAATGAACAGTAATATGAACAAAAGTAATATTATGGAAATGAGTGAGAGTGAGTGTGTGTTAAGCAGGGTTTGGGTTGGGGTGGGGACGGGCGTGGGGGTGAAGGGATGGAGAGAGCGAATGAGGTGAAGAGGGAAGGGGG